CAGTAACTCTGAATCAGCCAACCAGGCTCCCAGCAGCCCTTTCTGCAGCCTTATGCTATGGCCAGTGCATGCGCTCCCTACGTCTGGGGTTCAGTGAGGAAGGGATGGGCTTAAGGGCACTGCACTTGGCCTGGTCTAGGGGAACAGGAGAAAGGAGGTTTCAGAAGATACAGGAATGGCCAAAAGCGTGAAAATGTTCTCAATTTCACCAATCAAAACCACAGTGGAGTGCCACTTCGTACCCACTAGGATGGCTATAATTTAAGAGGTCCTAAACTGGGCATGGTGGCTCACACCTGTCATCCCAGCACTCAGGAGGCTCAAGCAGGAGGATCATTGTGAGTTCAAAGCCAGCCTGGGCTACAAAGTGAGACCTGTCTCAAAAAAAAAAAAAATGGAACTTTCATGTAATACTGGGAGAAATATAAAATGTGTTGCTACTTTGGAAAATAGTTTAATGATTTTTCAAAAAGGTTAGCATATGACCCAGCAATCCCACTCCTAGAGATATGCCCTGGTTTTTTATTGGTGACTCCTCACCTACTTAATAAAGGACGCACAGAGTTCTCAAGAGAAGAGCAGACTAATACCTCAGGCCTCCGCGTTCTCTCCCTGAATTCCAGACGGTACGCAACCAGCCCCACTGAACAGAGGCTCACAGGGGCGCACAGGGGCTCACAGAGATTCGTTCAGCCAAGAATTCCTAGCTAGAAGGTCGATGGGTTTTAAAAGCTCAGCAGGGGGCTGGGGATGTAGCTCAGTGGCACAAGTGTCTGCCTGGCAAGTGTAAGGTCCTGAGTTCGATTCCCGGTACTAAATAAATAAATAAAATAAAAGCTCAGCGGGAACAGGCTAACCCTTGCAGGGCTGGAGTTCACCACGTGGGAGTGGGTAGTCATGCGGTAGGGTCCTAAGCAGCTCCCAGCTCAAATCTCAGACTGTTTAATAGTTACACAACATTAATAAAATTGCTTCACTCTCCTGGGTCTCAGTTTACCCACCTGCAAAATGGGGCTGTTCATGTGCAAGATGCACATTCTAATATTTACACAGCAGGCTCAGTGATTGATTCATTACAAGCCTGGCAGACTGTAGGCCTCAATTTCCCTATCTCTAAAAGTAGGGCCAGAGATATAGCTTAGTGGTACAGTACCTGCCTGGCAAGCAAAAAGTCCTTAGTTCAATTCCCCGTACCAAAAAATAAAATAAATAAAAATAAAAAGGGACGAGTATCCTTTATCTTGCTCCCGCTCTCGGGACTGTTTCGGAATTCAAAATAAAACGGACAGGACAAGAAAATGCCTTTTCCTCAGTCAAGGATCAGGGCAAGTATGCGCTGATGTTGGGACTGACGCCCCCTGCGACTTTGTCGCGGCACTGTCGTCTTTAGGAGCGGCCGAAGAACCTGCACCTGCGCAGAACCCAGACGCTCGGGCCCGCCTCTCAGGGGTGTGACTTCCTCTCCCTGCTGGGCTTTGGTCCCGGCTACTTCCGGGTGGGCGGGCCGAGGGCTGGGCCACGTGACTTCGTTCCTGCTTGCCAAAGATGGCGGCGCCCAGGGCTGCGGCGTGAAAGTTGAAGTGGAAAGACTGTCCCCTGGAGCTGGGATAAAAAGCGGTGGGGACCTTGCGCCATGTCGCGACTGATCGTGAAGAACCTCCCGAATGGGGTGAGTGAGGGAGGGACCGGGACTTGGGACGTGAACCTGGGACGGGCTGGGAGTTCTCTGCGGAGGGAAAAGGTGGCCGGAGAAAGTTAGGTGTTTCGCCTTGGGGGCTCCGGGCAGATCCGGAACCCAGAAGGGCGGGAACCTGGGTTCATCCGCATCTGACTGCGGGGGAAGAGGGAGTGTGACTGCGTGAGGTCTCACAGCCGGCTTGTGGATCCCTGACTCAGACCTCACAGTTCTGGGGAGGCGGAGCGCCCCCTCGCAGTCCCGCGCCCCGCGCCCCGCTCCCGCGCCCTCCCTTTATCGCGCTCGCGCTCGGGCGGGAGCTGGGGAGGCCCGCGGGGAGCGTGACTGCGCAGGCGCGCGCTCCCTGTCCCTCTGCCATCTCCTGCCATCCCCCTTGGGGGAAGTGAGGGCGCTGAGCAGGTGTGAGAGGCGATTTATCCAGGAAAGTAGGGAAGGGCGGGCGGCCGTGCTGGTCTGTTCCTTAGCGACCACCGCAGAACCGGGCGGTGGACACTCAATAAAAACACGCCAGGTAAATAATTGAGCGAAGAAACAGAGGAACGTGGATGGCTGGGTGCAGGGTCTCGGCGCGGATCAGCCTTCCTGTTTCACTGTAACTCTTCTTGGGTGGAGAGCCCCGCACCCCTGGTGTGGCCACTGAGCTCCTGCCTCATATGCGGAATGAACCATTTGGATGGCTGGGGGCGGTCTTCTGCACTCTCGCCTCTGTATGGGGGTGTCTGTTTCTCCACAAAGAGAACACAAAGCCGTGTCTAGTCTATTAGTTTTTCTTTCTTCTAGGTAGGAGGGTTTAATGACACACGGTTCTGAAAATTCAGACAGTTCAGTAGTGTATAAAGTGAGAAGCAAAGACTTGCTCCATCCTGCCCTCTAGGAATAACCATTTCTAGGACTCCCCACGGGCACCTCTGGGCACTCCTTGGCCTCTTTAGCCCAGTGACTATCTGCTGACTCCGCTGTGAAAGAGGAGGAGCTTGCATCCTCACTGTATTATTACTGTATTATTAATTCTTCCGTCCTTTACCCTCAGGGGTGTGCTTTAAAGATATTTATTGCTGCACCATCCACCAACTGTCAACAGTCTCCGGAGTAGCACTTCAGCATGGCTTACCTCTCCCACCCACTTTCTGTGTCGTGCATCTCAGTGTAGCTCCCTCTCTGCATTGTTTGTCCGGTCTGAGGACTGAAACCATTACCAACAAAAACAGGAACAGCAGTAGCTAGCTCTGGGAGAGGTTACTGCCTAGTAACAAATAAAGTAACTTATATAACCCCCACCTTAACCCCAAGTCAGGAGGCAGTCTTTCTACCATTTTAAAAGTAGAAAAACTGAAGATGAACTGATTCGCCTGAAGCCACACACAGTTGGTAATTCATGTAGCAGACATCGAATGGAGCGATCTGGTCCTAGAATTTGCGTTCCTGGCCACTACACCTGCTGTCTTTCTTAGCGGGATTGCATGTGTTTTTTCCTAATTATTTTCCAACAGGTAAAAAATGTAGTAGTGAAGATGTGTTGTGGTGCTGACATTGTGGATAGAGTAGACAAGACTTGGTTCCTGCTTTCTTGGAGCTTGCAGGGTAGTGGAAGGACAGACAGCAGACCAAGGTGTGGGGATTGCAGTATGGACATGTGCAGTAGGAGCACAGTGGTCCTTGGTCACGTGACTCATCCCAGGGATCAGGAAAGGCTTCCTGGGGGAGGTGATGAACTGAGCGTGAGGCATTAGGAAGTCACTCAGAAGTTCTGGATCAGACTCGAGTGAGGACTCTCACATACCCCGGGGACAGGAATTCATTGTGTTTTTGTTTTTGTTTCAGCACTGGGGCTTGAACCCAGCTACTCTGTGTTAACCTACATCCCCAGCCTGTTTTGTTGTATTGTTGTTGTCTTTTTCAGACAGGGTTTCGCTACACAGTTCATGCTGGCCTTGAACTCACTTTGTGACCCAGTCTGGCCTCGAACCTGCAGCAGTTTTCCTGCCTCAGCCTCTCAAGTGCTGGGATCACAGGCGTGGAACACCACAGCCGGCCTCCCAGCCTTTATTTTTTTATTTATTGCAGTATCAGGATTGAACTTAGGGCCTTCACAGGGAGCCATACTCCCAGCACTTTTTTTATTTTTTTTTTTTTTTACTAAACTGTCCAGGGTAGGCTCAAACTTGTAATCCTCCTGCTTCACCCTCCCAGAGTGCTAGGATTATAGGCGGGTACTATCATCCTCAGTTTTGTATTTTAACTTTGAGACAGAAACTGACTAAGTTGCCTGGGCTAGGTTTGAAGTTGTGATTCTCTTGCCTCAGCCTCCACTGGGATCACAGGCACATGCCACCACAGCCAACTGAATTCACAGTCTTTTATATATCTGAGCAGCGTCACAGCCCTTGATTGTATAGACCTTGGACAGATCCTTTCTTTATGGTCTAAGTATTCCATGTTGTCCTCTTTAAAAACAGGTATAAAAATTCCTCACTGAGCAATTGTGAGATTTTGATGAGATCAGAGTGAAGAAGCTCCCTCAGAGAACTTCCTCCTGTCAGCTGCCAAAGCCAGTAGGTCCCGCATTTTCAGACTCATTTCGGCTGTTGATGGGGCCCTAAGTGCCCCCTCTGCCTGCTTCCACACACACAGTCTCCCAGTATCTGCTCAGAAAACTCACTGAGTTGTACGGTGGCCCTAGGGGGTGAGGATGGGGAAGCCAGGAACCAGCGCTGCATAGCATGGGGGCCTCTTGACCTCACTGTAGTCATAGCAGTGTGTTACTTGCCCACTGCTGCCATGGCAAATTGCCATAAACTCAGTGGCTTAAATAATATAAATGTATTCTTATCATTTTGGAGTGCAGAACCCTAAAATCAAGGTTTGGGCAGGGCTGTAGTCCTTTCGGAAGCTGTGAGGGAGAATCTGTTCCTTTACTTTTTGCAGCTTCGGGGGGCCACTTGCCCCCTGGGCTCATAGGCGCATCCTTTACCTTCAGCCTTCAAAGGCAATAATGTAGCATCATCTGCTTCCTTTCCCTTGTTTTCATCCTTATATCTCTTTCTCAGCCTGACCCTCCTGCCTTCCTTTTCTACAGCTCTTGTGATGACATGAGTCCCACCTGGGAAACTCAAGCTCATGCCCTCCACCTCAGGATTCTTCATCAAATCTGCAAAATCTCCCTTGCCATGTAATACGATGTTAACTACAGGTTCTAGGGATTAGGATGGTGACATCTAAAGGGTGCTCCATTTGGCAGACACTTACGTAGCTCATCATATTCACTGATTCATTTATCCTGACAAGCCTATATTAGGTGTCTACTGTGTAGCAACCGTAGTGCTGCCTATGTAATTGGGCTTAGCCTCCAAGCAGCCTGGAGGGTAGGAAAATAGCATTTGCAGCCCTGAAGAGTTTCATTTCCTCATCAGTGAGGTGAGTGGGATCCTGCTCATGGACACCCAGTAAGTGTTGGGTGACAGCTGAGACCTGGCCTATATTGACTAGCTTCTCTGTAACTGAGAGATAATATCCAATAACTTAAAGGAAGAAAGGTTTAATGTGGTTCACGGTTTCGGGAGATTTAGTCCATGGTCACTTGGCTCAAAGATAGAACTATGGCTGTGGGGCATAACAGGGCAAAGCTGTTCTGTTCCTGGTGTCCAGGAAGCAGAGCAGGGCAGCAGCACCAGAGAGGAGCAGGCAAGGGGCAGTCATGGTATCCAAGGTTACACTTCCCTGAGCCGCCCAGACACACCCGGGAGCGTGCTGTGCTCATCCCTAGGCATTTCCTCAATGAAGCTGACATAACAGGGTTAACAGTCACACCGGAAGAGCTCAGGATGCCACCTCCTCATCTCAGGTCACCTGCAGAGCATCCTGGGGCCTCTGGGTTTTCAGCCCATTTTGTCCTTTCGCTCTGGGGATACCCCAGCTCCTCCCTGTGGCGCCCACTCTTGCAGATGAAGGAGGAGCGCTTCCGGCAGCTTTTTGCCGCTTTTGGCACGCTGACCGACTGCAGCCTGAAGTTCACCAAAGACGGCAAGTTCCGGAAGTTTGGCTTCATCGGCTTCAAATCGGAGGCCGAGGCCCGGAGAGCGCTGAGCCATTTCAACAAGAGCTTCATCGACACAGCCCGTATCACGGTGAGTCTGGGCGGCAGGAGCCTTGCCCTTGCTGCCTGTCCAGAGTGATGGCAGTGATCTGTCCCTCAACACTTGGTCCCACCTCCGTCCTCTTCACACTGTGAGGTCACACGCCTTTGTGTGTGAGCTTCCCCCTGAGATGTTAGAGCTGTTTGCTGGGTGTGTCTCTGGAGCGACCAAATCAGCACCCAGAGGTGGGGCTTGAAAACACGCGCGTCTCACAAGCAGTCAGGCCTGGGGAGGACTGTACTTGGAGGAGCATAGGTGTGGATCCTGAACCAGCTGTCTGCATCTGGAGCCGTCAGTGCTGTGGCTGGGCAGGGACCAGGGACCAGGGAGGAGCAGGACCAGGAGCCCCCTCCCCTGGTCAGGGAGGAGTCAGGAAGGCTTCTGGGACAGGACGTCCCACTCGGGTCACTCATGCATTCAGTGACACGACAAAGCATCTCTCATACTGTGTTGACAAGGAAAGGTTTTCCGTGTTTGGAGAAGTATTCCGTATTTTAAAACAGAAATGGACAGGTGTGCGTCCTGTGACTGCATTTAGCGCTACCGTATCCCTCAGTCTCTGTGTACGATCTGTATGTTGAGGGCCGGCTGCTGGGATTTTCACCAGCTGACAGTGACGCCCTCTCTAGATGGCAGGAACTGAATTGATTTCCTGGTAACTCCCATTGTACACTTTCCACATTGTTTGAATTTTGAGCCGTGAACGTCTCATCATTACAGGCGTGTGGAAAGGCCACACCAAAGGGTGTGGCTGAATGGCAGTCCCTCGCCCTGGGAAAGTAGTTGGCCAGCCAGCATCAGCTTTGGGTGTCACTCAGTGGCTGGGGGGCAGTGCCCGCTGTGTGCTCCCAGCGGGACCAACCCTCCCAAAGGTCACCTGTGAGAGTGCATTTGAGTTACTTGCCATCTCTGTGCTTTGTTTCCTGGTCTGGGAGCGAGCGAGGAGCAGCCCCACGGTCAGAGGCCCAGTGTGCCTACACTCACAGAGCCCTGAAGGCATTGACCACCTGTGGGTTCCTAATGAGTGACTTAAAGGACTTCCCAGGGGACACAGCCCAGGTTGGGGGTAATAACACGTAATTTGCTTCAGTTAACTCAAGTGAGTGGCAACTTCCTGTTTTTAAAGTCCAAGCTCCCACCCCATGCCATGACAGCTGTGAAAAGCGCCCCTTTTTCCTTCTTAGGTCGAGTTCTGCAAGTCCTTTGGGGACCCGACGAAGCCCCGCGCCTGGAGCAAACATGCCCAGAAACCGAGTGACCCCAAGAAGTCTTCGGAAGATGCAGCTTGCCCGGAAACTAAGAAAGTACGCAGGTGTCACTCCACTTCCGTCCCCAGGGTGGCAGGGTGGTCCCTCTCCGGGGCAGGGCAGTCCTAATCCCTGCGCCTGTGTGATCCCCATCCTCTGTGCCTTCTGCTTTTAGGACAAGAAGAAAAGGGAACCAAGTGACCTGGAGAAGGTGCGTGTCCCATTCCTGGGGAGGGAGGGGCGGGCCCTGGATGCAGAGCACAGCATCTGTGGTTCCTGTCTGGTCCTGCAGAGTCTGCTCTGCCTTCCCGGGCCCTCGGTGCACTCGGGGCAGGCTAGGGGCATGCGCAGTGAGGAGGGCCGAGCCACACCCTAGCCGACTCTGCCTCTTCTCCCGCCCCGCATCCCTGGTGCCACCAGCTGAAGGAGGATACCGAGTTCCAGGAGTTCCTGTCGGTTCACCAGAAGAGGACACAGGTGGCCACGTGGGCGAACGACGCACTGGACGCTGAGACCCCAAAAGGAAAGAGCAAGCCAGCCAGCGACTACCTGAACTTCGACTCTGACTCTGGGCAGGAGAGTGAGGACGAGGAGACTCAGGCAGCAGGGGTGGAGCCCGAAGGTGAGGCTGCCCATGCTCCATGCCAGGGTGTGTGCCCTGCCCGTGCCTGCCACCAGGCTGCCTGCCGCTGGGGTCCCCTCTGTCACACACCGGGGATGGGCCAGCTGGGCACCCTCCTCGAGCGCCCTCCAGTGACATAACGAGCCCACTGCAGGGACCTCTACTCTGTCAGTTGGTCTCTTGGGCACAGCCTTAGGCCTGGGGACAGCAGCAAGCAAAACACAGAAGGACCTGCATCCCCAATGTTGCTGGGGGTGGGGAGGAGTGGCGGGCAGAGCAGTGCCCCATCGAGGGCACTCTGGTGGCAAGTGCTTCGGGGAAAACCAACAGGGTCCGGGGAGCTGGGGCTTGGGACGGGGACTCTGGGCAGGGCAGGAGCCCTGTCCCTGCAGGGGCCCAGACCATGGTGACACTGAGGGGTGAGGAAAGGGCCAGTGCAGTGCAGAGATAACCCCAAGAGCAGTGCAGGCCCTGCCCTTTCCCTCTGGGCACTAATCCCCCCAAGTACAAACACCCTCTTCTATACAAAGTAGCAAATCAGAACCAACAAGCTCAAGCCCTCACGTACAACATGAGGACAGTCAATAGAACGGTTGTGTCGTATTCAGGAGTTTTGCAGAACGAGTCGGTTGCCGCTCACTGGGTAGTAGGCAGCTGCTTCTCCCACGGGGCAGAAAGATCACTGTGAGGGACTAATTGCTCCCACAACAGGAACTGTTTACTGTGTGTGTGTGTGTGTGTGTGTGTGTGTTTTAGTACAATCATCTTATGGAAAGAGCTTAAATCAGCTGGGCACAGCTTGTAATCCTTGTACTCAGGAGGCTGAGGCAGGAGGATCATGAGTTTGAGGGCAGCCTAGTGAGTTCACGGCCAGCCTGGACTAAGTAGTAAGGCCCTATCTTTTAATAAAAAAAAAAATGAATGATTGAACAGTGACCGTAAAAGGAGACAGCAGGGCTGGTGACAGGGAGCCGCAGAGCTCTGTGTCTGACACTTAAAGTAGCAAAACCTCACCAGCTTTGCCTGCCCACTCGGTGCTCCTTACTGTACGGTTTATCGGAGCTGTCGGGCACAGAACGCTGTCATGCTGAGTATGGCACCAAGGGCCACACCGACTGTCTGGTTTGCTGGCAAAGGTCTCTGACCCTGGCTTTGCTACTTTTCCAGAAGAGCAAGACCTCGGGCCCAAGGCAGCCGTGAAGAAGGAGCTGTCGGACATGGAGTACCTGAAATCCAAGATGGTGCAGGCTGACTCGGCCTCCTCGGAGGAGGAGGAGGAGGAGGAGGAGGAAGAGGAGAGCGAAGACGAAGCCGTGAACTGTGACGGGGAGAGTGAGGCTGAGGAAGAGGAGGAGTCCGCTGTGCCAGCCGAGCGGGACACAGAGCACAGGGCGGCCAGCCTGGGATGCAGGGCCCTGCCTGGGCGTGGGAGACCTCAGGACGGGAAATCCGAGGTGCATGTACATCTGGGGACAGAGGGACAGAGGGAGGGCCATACTAGTGTTTGCCCGTGGTCCCTGCAGCCCTGAGACCTGTGAAAACCGTAGCCTGCCACTGGCTTGCTATATGCAACGGCCACCCAGAGCTGTGGGGTGGAGGTGAGCTGGTTAGAGCTGTGAACGGGTTACCCTCCGTGCTCAGCAACACGGCATCGGCAAAGTGGGTACAGTGTATGGCACTAAGAGGTCTCCACACCAGGGTCGGCAGTGTCACCGTGCCTCAGGGCTCCTTCCCGATCCCTCAGGCCCTCCCCGCAGCCTGGGGCCCAGCACCCCCTCCAGGCCTGAGATGCCCCTGTCCACTTGCTGCCTTGGCACCCCGGGAACTCACCCTCTCTGTTCCCTGCAATCCCTCAGATGGGGAAGCCAGCCAGCCAGAACGAGCCCACCACCCCTCACACCGTGAAGCTGCGGGGCGCCCCGTTCAACGTCACAGAGGTATGTGCTCACGTGGCAGGGGCAGGAGCCGCAGAGCAGTGGGTGAGGGTGGGGCACCAGGAGCTTTTGCTGCCTGGGAGCAGTAGGAGCTAAAGATGTGATCGAGAAGAAATCAAAGGCCTGAAAGGCTGACATGTAACATCTCAGGCACATTAGTGTCTTGTCGTCTTCAGGAAGTAGGGACCCTGCACCAAGACAGGGCAAGACTGGCTTCATTCACCAGTGTCTCCCCAGGGCATAGGCAGACTTTCTACAAAGGGCACAGAGACCGCTGGTGAATATTTAAAGCCTTGTGGTCAGTACAGCCTCTCTCGTGCCTCCTTTACCTTGTGCTTATAACACAGAAAAAGTTGGACCTGGATAAGCAAGTAAGCATGGCTGTGTTCCAATAAAACTTTATATATAAAAGCAGGCAGTGGGTCAGATCTGGCTCATGGGCTATAGTTTACTGATTCTGGGGCTAAAAGACCACAGAAGAGGTAGCTAAATAAAAAGAAGGTAAAAGTCAACTATAGCTGGGGTGGCTATATAAATTATCATCCATACCAAGTTGAGAGTCGGGCTGTAGCCAGAGAGCGTTCCAGCGTGCAGGTGGGACTGCAGGTGGGACTGCCAGCCCTGCCAGGCTTACTCTAGGTGACAGCGACTCCCACACTGGGGCCTGTCTTAAACATTTTTTTTCGTGCACAAATACTGACCCGTGTCTTTCTATTTATTTGACTTTTTGTGTGTAAATTTGTATCAGTACGTTTGCGGTGTGTAGGGATTACACTCATCCAGAGGAGTTGGTGTTTGCAAACACGTCTTATTGCGTCCTCTTCCTCTCTCAGTGTCTTTCCGTTTTTAGAGGGGCCCTTTCCCATCATCCTGATACATCGTGAACTTTTTGAACACTGAGGACCCTCTGTCTCAGCACCCTTTTTCATGTAGCATGCTCTTCCTTATACACCTATTCCTGGATGTAGTTACCCAGGATAAACTGGAAGGTGGGCATGATGTTTGCTCTTAGAAGTACTAATGCATTTCTTTGCACTCAGGTATCATAGACTATTTTTTAAAGGCCAAATGGTAAGTATTTTAGGCTTTGTTAGCCATATAATCTCTGTCATTCTTTTTCTTTCTTGAAAGCATGCTTTTTTTGACAGGGTAACGACCCACTCCCAGCTTGCAGGCCTTATGGAACCAGGCATGGGTGACAGTTGGGCCATGGGCCAGAGCTTGGCAACCCTTGTCCCAGGTGAATGGTGCCTATGAGTACACCCGCCTGATTTTAAGTCACAGACACAGAGCATCACTTGTCCTCTTTGTCACTTGACCTGATCTGTCCTTTTCCACCAAACAGTGAGACTATACGCTTCCCTGAACCTTGTATGATAATTCTGCTTTAATATTTACCAATATGACAAGCAAAATGACATCACATTTCAAGTTATATTTTAAATTCCCAGTGAGATCTGCTGTCCTTCACAGTTGTAAATGGGGCATTTGTTCTTGTTTGGAAAATACTAAGCCTTTTTTCTCTCGAAGTGTTCATCTTTTTTTTTGATAATCTGTATATTTGCAAGTATTTCGAATACTAACAAATCTGTATATTTACAAATAACAGCGCTTCTCAAAGTTCTAAGAAGCAGCTGCTTGGGTTTTATGACAGTGCCTTGCCTGAATTTTGGGTCAGAATCCTTTCAGTACCAACCATGCAGGAAGCCCCATGTTTTATTTAAGAAAAAAAGTTAGATGCGTACTTGCAAATTTAATACGCAGAAGTTTGTGTGTTTCCTCCTCCCAACCAATAATAGAAAAAATAATGAAAAGAATTTCTCTTCTATATCAACCAAACAGATAAACTAGATACTCTGGCAGATGTTGCTTCCAGAGAGGGGCTTAATGGACATTCTAATAAAATCTTCATCGCTTCTGTACAAAGAAAATGATAAATTTCACCAGAAGATTTAGGAACATTTACGTAAATGGAAAGCCAGGCTTCATTCCCAGAATATAAAAGTTCTGGTTCTTCCTTAACTAGTGAAGAAATGGAGAAGTTAGAGGCGATCACATTTATGGTTTCATCTAAACTGGGTGAAGTGTCAAGGGGTAGCCTGGAATGTGCTGCCCCTCAGTAGCTGCTGAAAAATTGTTGTAAAGCTACTGTCGTTAGAACAGTTTGGTTTAGGTGAAAGGTGTGACAGGTTATTGGACAAGCCAGATTATCCCATAAATAGTAAGGGAACAACCGTTACCTTTTTAAAGTTGTTTTGTTTTTTGCTTTGTGCTGGGAATGGAAGTCAGGGTGTTCCGCGTGCTAGATAGGTGTTCCACCCTTGAGCCCCACCTCAGCCCACTTAACTCTTTGAAGGAAACGAAAGAATAATGGACCCCTTCTTACTTGTTGTAGCAACATAGATCTAAGATGTATTAAGGAGTCAGGCTTTTAAAATATCTTTTTAAACAATTTGCAAAACTTGGTAGCCACAAGGAAAAAGATGAACGAATTGATCTCATGCCGATTAAAACTTGGTAGGCAACAAATGCCGTAAACAAAGTTGATGACAAGCTACAGGCATTTATAGCTCAACAGTAACAAAAACGTCTTTAATTTACAGATAGACATTTATAAAGGACATACAAACCGGTAGAAAAATGGACAATTTACAGATAGACATTTATAAGGGACATACAAACCAGTAGAAAAATGGACAAAGGGAAGGAGGTTTTGCAGGAAAACAGTTCAGATGGTGAAAACAGATGTTTGAATTCACTCATAATTTTTTTTTTTAAAACAACAATAAAAAAACCTGGGAGACCACGTTCTCCACATGCCAAATTTGGGAACATTTTCAACCTTTGACACTAAACCCTTCCACGAGCTGTTGGCTCAGCCTGCAGAGAGCGACTAGGAGCTGTCAGAACCAGGCATGCCCATGCCTATACTGACCCATTCCCTTGCCAGGAACCTGCCCTGCAGGTGACTTACCCAAGTCCCCGAAGATCTGAATGCACAGATGCTTGCAATAGCCTTCTTACGTTGCCGTTTTATTAATAACTTACTGTGTTCATTTATGGTCATTTCACTCATGGAAACAAAAAACTGGAAACAGCCTTTGCCCTCCATCACTGGGTTGATGGAGTTCAAGTGGTCCTCGCCTTGATTCTCAACGGGATGAGCTGCCCCCTCTGGGACATGTGGGAATGTGTAGAACATTTCTGGTTTTCACAGCTCTTAGGGGTGGGACCTCTATGGAGCAGAGGCCTAGGATGCTGCCAGATACCTGTAGTACACGGGTTGGCCCCACAACAGAGAACTACCAGCCCCCAAATGTCAGCAGTGCCACCACTGAAAAGCCCTGCGATAACTAAACTGCAACGCACTACAGCCATAGAATACAGCTTGTCACTAAAATGATGCACTGTCCCTAGTAGGCGCCTAAAATGAGAAAACTGTTTGAAAGAACTTGATAATTACAACATGTGCAGTATCCGTGTGAAAACTTCAGAATCTGTTGGCCTTCTTGCACTTGTTAATAGTACTTTGATTTTTAATTATGCGCGGTAGTCAGGGCCTTGAACTGGCTTAACCAGTTAGGTCCACAGATGACAATGAAAATTGCTACATTTATTTAACAAGTCAGTAAGAAGTAAGAGTGTAATTCTGGTCAGTGGAATTATGGATCTTTCTTGTTTCCTTATTTGCACTTTTCAGTATTTGTTAGAATATCATGCCCTGTGTGTTCTGCTTCTTAAAAATGTGTTTAAGTCATACCCATGTCCAAAATAGGGAATAGTTAAGAAAATGGAGACCCGCATACAGTGTCACTCTAGGTTTAGCACCATAAAGTACTGTAGTACGAACAGATACTCATGGTCTAATGAGAAGTGCGAACGGCCAGATTTAACCTCAAGTAAATTTTTAAAACTACTCAGATGGAAGACAGTGCCTTTAAATGCTGGTGGTGATATTCTTTATATTATTCAGTTCTTTCAAAGTTTTCCCAGGGTAGTTTTATTCCAGAATGGAGAAAAGGTGCATGTCATTTTAAAGAACAAAAATTCTAAAGGATGAGATGCTTTGCAGTCTTTTCTGACTTGGAGTTTTGCCCCATATGTCTTCATTAGATTGTACTTGTAGCATTGGATTGATAATGGGAACATTTTTCTTTTTCTTATAGAAAAATGTTACAGAATTCCTGGCACCCCTGAAGCCAGTGGCCATTCGAATAGTGAGAAATGCTCATGGGAACAAGACAGGTAAGGCTCCGAGGATGTTGGTGGGTGAGAGCAGGCATCTCCAACCTTTTTAAAAGGCCCTTGGGGCCAGTTTCACGGAAGACAGTTCTCCCAGTGGCCAGCTGGGTGCAGGACGACGCGGAGGAGTGTAGATACCTCACATGCACAATTCGTGGTGTGGTTTGCACCCTGTGAGAATCTAATCCACCACTGATCTGGCAGGAGGAGGAGCTCAAGAGGGGATGCCGGCCACAGAGCTTCGGTTCCTCCGCTGCCATCCACCGGCCAGGCAGCCTGGCTCCTGACAGTGGCCCAGGACTGGGGACTCCTAGGTTAGAGGGGCAGAGGTGCAGGTCAGAGATTAGTGCCACTTGTTTAAAGGAGAAGCTTTAAGGAGAGTGGGTTTTTTTGTTTGTTGTTTTCCTATTTGTGGTCCGCAGTTCTATGGATGTGATTAAACTGTTTGGGACAAGAGTCGGTTGGTCTCTTGTCCCTGCCCCGGCTGCCTGGCCTGCAGTGATAGGATTTCACCTGTGTCTCCTCGCCCCAGCCTGTGCTTACCCCTAGGTTCTCCTGTTCCTTAGACCGACACCAGCAGGGCTGCGATTGCTAGGCCAAGTCCGTGGCCGGCCCGGCTGGTGGTGGGGTCGGGGTGCTACCTTCCTGAGTCTGCGTGGTGCTGCCCCAGCCGTGTCTCCCTAATTCCACGCTGGGCAAGTGTCCCCCTCCCCTGACCGCAGAGCCCTGGATCTGGCTGCTCTGAGGTGGGGGCCCAGGGGAAACTGGGTGCTTGCCACCAGCCTACTTGCTGGCCAGGCCAGGAGATGCAATGGCAAACATCCACAAAAGGGCTGAGGCGGCGTGGCCGTGGAGTGCAGCCCTGCAGGGCGGGCAGTGTCCTTGGCAGGAAGAGGCTGCCAGGCAGAGTGAGGAGGTTTCCCAGCCAGCGCCTGAGGAAGCACGTGCCTGTGCGTCAGGGGTGGCCTGGCCCCCTCCTGGCCTATGTCCCCTCTGAGCTCCGAGGCCCGCTCACCAGGTTGACTCATGACTGGCCTTCCCTCTCTCCTTGCACACTCACTTGTGTGCAGTTGCAGGCAGGAGAAAGAGCCCAGCCTCAAATCCCAGTCTTCTGAGCTGGGACAAGGGCCACAGCCTCAGTGTCCATATCTGTGCAGTGGATTAAACCTGTGTCATCCTGTGGAGGACAGAGAGCTGACCTTTGAGCAGTCCTGTGAAAGCCACGTGCATGTCAGTGGTGCTGGGGCTGGTGGTGTGCCCTGGCTCGTGGCACTAGAGAGACCAGACAGGAAGTGGGAAAGAGCATCTTTGTGTCGCCAGGGCTGAGAGAGAACCCTTGGCGCTGCTGCTGGAGAGAGCCAGCTTGGAGCAGGTCACTTGAAGGCAGTCCGTGTCCCTGCAGAGGAGCTGGGAGGAGCCAGGCCAGGCCCTTGGGCCACGTCAGGTGTGGGCTCTGGCCTGATAGGGGCTTTGGGCAGGGAGGGTGGGCAGGTCAGGGTGGCAGGGTGGTGCCCTGGCTGGCAGAGGGGCCTAGAGCAGGGTGCGGAGGCTCTGGCGCCCCTGGTGTGAGCTGGGCCCTGGCAGCTGTGGAGGAGGAGGAGGAAGGAAGAGGGTGGAGGAAGAGGGAGGTGGAGGACATTTACGGGGTAGACGAGGAGCCTGCATGAGGAACAGGGAAAAGGAATCACAAAGGGAATCTGAACTGCCTCGTGAGGGAGGCAGAAAACCCACGGGTTTCCGACCAGGTTGCACATTGTGTCCCTGCACGTGTCACCCACTGAACTGAGCACCCGCGGGGGAGGATGTGGTGGCCTCTGCTCAGGAGACAATGCCGCTGCCTGTTTCTGTGCAAGCTGGTTCTCGGGAGCTCCCAGAAACTGTTCTCTAGGGTGGCTCCTGGGTGCCGAGCCAGACACAGCGCCACCCCCACAGGCAGAGAGTGTGGTGGGAAGGGGCTGGGAGGGGGCCGGGAGGCCTGTGTTTCTGAGCCCGGGGGCCCCGCGTCTTCAGCCACAAAGCAGGCCACAGGGTCTGAGTGCCCCCTCAGAGAGGGGCTGGGCTGGGCAGCATCCGTTTGTGTTTGGAGATTTAGCAGAGACAAAGGTTGCCCCAGTGTGCACCCAGCACAGGGCAGTGTCCCCGTGACTCGCACAAGTGTGCCAGGGTGCGCAGAGCTCACCTGTGCCGTCATTCCCTCTCAGGGTACGTCTTCGTGGATTTCAGCAGCGAAGAGGAAGTGAAAAAAGCACTGAAATGCAACCGCGAGTACATGGGTAAGGAGCGCTAAGTTGGAGCAAGGGGGTGCGTGCACAGGTGTGTGCTGTGCACGGAGTGTCCTCTGCCAGCCACTGCTGTGGGCGTGGGGGTACAGCAGTGTGCAAGGGGACCACGGTCCCTGCCCCCAGCTGCCACAGCCGGGAGAAATGGGCAGTGGGTGTAAGTGAACAACACGGTGCGTGGGAAACAGCAGATAAGGCTCCTGCAGAGCCCGGCAGTGCAGGCGGCCCATCTTTAACAGGATCTTGTCAGCGGTGGCCTCGCCAAGGAATGTGGGATACACCTGGAACTAATGATGCAAGCTCGGGCTTACAGGGCAGGACATCTGGTAGCCAGAACACCGAGTGGACAGTCCTAGAGTTGGGCGGGTTCGATCCCTGATCCATCCTTGGTCTGGGAGTCCAGGGCTGCGGATTTTCTCAGGAAGATGGGCCACTCAGACACGTGTTTCTTTCAGGTAGGGCACAAGTGATAGTAAGTAAGTACACAGATGCAGCCACAGTTCAGCGGCAGGTACGGTAGTTGTCCGGAGTCAGGTTGTCACTAAGACCCATCCCGGGGCACAGCAGCCAGCAGTGCCAGAGATTGGGCCCCAGAACTCAGGATGCATCCCTGTGGCCTGGAATGGCCCAGGTGGGCTCCCCCGGGTCCGAGCTCTACCACAAGATGAGTGAGGTCCTGGGGCACAGACTGCATCCCCACCCGCCTTGGCTGTGGCACCTGGAAGATAGCAGAGAAGAGCCTGCCCTCACTGGCCAGGGGGTGTGCAATTCTGGGGCCCCCCCACCCCAGCCCTGACCCTGCCCTCTCCCAGGCGGGCGTTACATCGAGGTATTCAGGGAGAAGCAGCTTCCTGCGGCCAAGGCACCCCTGAAGAACAGCAGCAAAGCTTGGCAGGGCCGGACGCTCGGGGAGAATGAGGAGGAGGAGGACCTGGCCGACTCCGGGAGGCTCTTCGTGCGCAACCTGCCCTACACCAGCACTGAAGAGGACCTGGAGAAGCTCTTCTCCGCCTATGGTAGGCGTCCCCTGCGGGCCACCACAGCCCAGTGGCAGGTCCTCTGGGCCTGGCTGGGGCTCTGACACAGTCCTGGGCTAAGGCCCCCTCTGCCTGTCCCCAAACCCCAACCTCGAGCAGAGGACGCCAGCCTGCCTTTCCTTTGTCCCGTCTGTCACGGGGGCTGCTGTCCCTGAGTGGCCACTCCACCGACCGTACTTGGGTGTGACACGCTCCAGCTAGCACTGAGCACCGCGGGCTGGCATGCGCGTGGCACATGTTAGCGCATCCACGTGGGCCAGATGCTGCGTGCCGCAGTGCAGGGGAGAAGCCGGTGCCTGCGCCCTCCAAGTGGCTCCTGCACGGCAGCCACCCATGCAGTGTAGGCGCCTCATTCTCCACTCTTAGGACAGACAGTAGGGAGTATCGGGTGACACCCCTGACCTAGAGGTTGGTCACCCTGGGCCAAGCAGCCAGAGTGACCCGAAGCAGCTGTCCCACACTCTCATGGGTCAGCCCTGACTCGGGATGGACGTGTCCCCTGTCCTCAGGTCCCCTGTCGGAGCTGCACTACCCCATCGACAGCCTGACCAGGAAGCCCAAGGGCTTCGCCTTCGTCACCTTCCTGTTCCCCGAGCACGCTGTGAAGGCCTACACGGAGGTGGACGGGCAGGTGTTCCAGGTGAGGGGGCGCAGGCGGTCAGGGCAGGCCGTGGGTGTGTACGCACTGATGTATGCGTGTGTCTGTGTTTTGGACCTAAGACCTCGGGTCGGCCTGGCAGGGTGTGACCTCAGAAGAGCTGCTACAGGGAAGACCCTCCATGAGGTCTGTTCCCCTCACTGGCCTGTAGCACCTAGAATAGCACCAGGCACAGAGTGGGCCCAAAGTATTTGTTGAGTGAATAAATGTGCTCTTTGCTGCCAGAAATACCTCCTTGGCAGAAAAGTGAGCAAGAGGGTATCTGGCAGGCTTGGTGGTGCATACCTTGTAGTCTCAGCACTCTGGGAGGCCGAGGCAGGAGCATCACCAAGTTTGAGCCCAGCCTGGGCAATTTAGTGAGACCTTGTCCGAAAATTTTTAAAAGTGGGGACTGATGGTTGGGGATGTAGCTCAGCATGAAGGCCCTGAGTTCGGTGTTCAGTACCGTGAAATGAAGGGAAAGGAAGAAAAGCATCTACCATGGGCAAGGAGAATGACCACTTAGGGTAATGTGGGACACTCGCCTCTTCCCCGTGTCCCAGGGGCGGGGCTTAGCTCGCGCCGCTCCCCAGGCTGCTTTATTACACTTGGTCCTCTTCATTCTTGCTTTCATGGTGCATGCTCCCACACACGTGTGGGGTGGGCTGGGCCTGCCACAGGTCTGGCTCGCACAGCAGCAGTTCCTTCCCTCGTCTGCGCCAGCTCAGGTGGACCAGGAGTGACCACACCGTCACCCTGCCTGGCGTCCCCGTGCTTCAGTCACAGCCTCTGCCGAGCACAGCGCGCCCTGCTGGCCGCTGGTGTCCTTGAGGGCTCTCCTCACCCCTCCCCCACCCCACAGGGCAGGATGCTGCACGTGCTGCCGTCCACCATCAAGAAAGAGGCCAGCGAGGAGGCCGGTGCCCCCGGGTCGTCTTACAAGAAGAAGAAGGACTCCAAGGACAAAGCCAGCAGCTCCAGGTCCCTGGCAGCCAGCACTGGCTTCTGAGCCCCTTTGCCCTCACTCCCGCCTGTCCCAGTGCCCGAGTCCTTTCCCTCTGCAGTGGCTGTAGTCCAGCACCTCCCCCAGCCTCAGTGTCTTTATCTGCAAAGTGATCAGGCAGTGCGGTGCCTTAGCTGTGCTGTGTTGTGTGACATGAGCCCGGCCCAGAGGCAGCGCTTGCCAGTGTCGCCACCCATCTGGGTCTCAGGCGTGCATGCTTAGCCTGTGACAGGCGCGTTGGAGGGAGGGGCTCAGGAAGGCAGGCCTGGAGTGGCAGGTTCTGCGTCTAAAAGCCCCCCATCAGCCACACCGTGACCCCGCTGTGCCTCTGCCCCACAGTTCCCACAACTGGAACACGCTGTTCATGGGGCCGAACGCTGTGGCCGACGCCATCGCGCAGAAGTACAGCGCCACCAAGAGCCAAGTGTTCGACCACGTGAGTGGGGAACCTGTGCGCATGCATGCTATGTACCCACAGTTAGGCCCCAGCTGAGTGACTCTTGGTCCAAACTGGGGCTGCCCCGGCCGGTGACAGGCAACATGGATGGTGCCAGTTAGTTTCAGCCTCCTCTGATCCTCACCCTTCCCCAAGCAGGCACCCACAGTCAGCGCTGTCAGAAGCAGAATGCACAGCACCTCTGTGGCTGTGAATGGCCCAGTGGCCTCTTTACAAAAAGAAACAGATAAGATTACAAATAATTGTAATAATTTATTTTGCTTAACATAGCCAAAGCATTATTTTAGCATAGGGCCTGTGTCAGAAAATCACAAGATATTTTTCATTCTTTTTTTCTGACCGAATCCAGTGTCTTTTAGACTCAGCACAGTACTGATTAGAACATGTCCCGTTTCTGGCTGGTTGTGGCTCTGTGGCTCGTGGCCACCGTTTAGGGCCAGAGAGCTTGGCCTGAGTCTGGAGAGGGACCTAAGCCTTGCAGGGGCTGAGGTTCCACATGACCCCGCTGAGCTGCAGGAGCTCAGCAGTGCCGGGCACAGAGAGGGTCCCCATCCAGTGCCTTTGAGTGGAGGAAGACCTGGCCATGACGAGAGCAAAGGGCAGTAGAGCCTGAGGCAGCCTGGGCTGTGACGGCAAGGGTGGGCAGGCAGTCAGCAGGGCGACACAGGCAGAAATAGTGGGACCAGGGCGGGAGGAGCCCCGGAGACCAACATCACAAGCAGGAGGGAACAGCAGGCTGGGAGGTGGGAGGAGCAGCACACATGTGCCCATCTGGATGGGACAAGAGGGCAGGAGCAGGCCAGGAAGGAGAATCTGAAGGGGGCTGTGAAGTCCCGGATGTACTGTTGTAACACGAGCTGGAGCCATGGTGGCACCAACCGAACCCATTTCCCCTAAGCTTTGGCCTCGACCTCTCGTCAAGGAGGCAGTCACATCAACTACCTGACAGGCAGTGGGCATCTTTCCTCTGTCCCACAGGAGACCAAGGGCAGCGTGGCCGTGCGTGTGGCCCTGGGGGAGACACAGCTGGTCCAGGAAGTGCGGCGCTTCCTGCTCGACAATGGGGTCTGCCTGGACTCCTTCAGCCAGGTGGGTCCTCGCTGCCCCTCCAGTAGGCCACCACTAGAACCTCATTTCAGGGAAATCTGCGGGCTGGCTCTGCCTAAGTGTCCACCCGAAGGATTGGAGTACCCCAACTCACAGGCTGCCCCCCAGTGTGAGCTCCTAGGTACTTCCTGCTCCCCACAGCCTTGGCAGCGAGCAGTGAGAAGGAGCCCTGTGCACCGAGGCACAGGTCTCTGTCCCGAGAAGCTTGGCTGGGTGTCCTGGGAGGTCCAGCGGGGCTGTGGTCAGGCGCTGTCGGGGCTCGTGTGTCTCATAGGCAGAGAGATCAGACTCATGAGCCACAAAGCGGGGGCTCAGCCCTCCGACAGTGACCCCTCACCCGCAGAGCAAGCGGGGCCTCCATCTCTGCCTCCCTGGCAGAGCCCCTTGCCCAAGAGCACTGCAGATCTGTGCTGGGGTCACGCTGAGGCGCCACTCCTGTTGTCCCCCGTATGACTGTGTGCCCCACCACCCGCCACCTCTGCAGGCCGCAGCGGAGCGAAGCAAGACAGTGATTCTGGCCAAGAACCTCCCGGCGGGCACCCTAGCAGCCGAGCTGCAAGAGATTTTTGGCCGTTTTGGCAGCCTGGGCCGCGTGCTGCTGCCTGAAGGTGGCATCACGGCCATCGTGGAGTTCCTGGAGCCCCTGGAGGCCCGAAAGGCCTTCAGACACCTGGCCTATTCCAAGGTAGGGCTGCCGAGCCTCTGTGCGGGGTGGGGAAGGGCCAAGGCTCGCTGCGGGTGTAGGGTGCAGGGTGCAGGGAGCTCCCGGGCCAAGGGAGCTCAGCCAGAGGCCCACTGTCTCTGAGATGCTGAGTAGCACCCCGACTGCCGAGCGCCTCCAGAAAGCGTGCACAGCTCCCACCCGACTCGGGCCTTCCTGGGCTTCTTGTTCCCATGCCACCTTGATGTCATTCGCGCTGCCATTGCTGCCCTATACCTTCCAGGAGATGGAAGGCGGTGTTGTACCTGGGCCTGTTTCCTTAGCTCAGTGGCACAGTGCCTGCCTGGCAAGTGTGAAGTCCTGAGTTCAATTCCTGGTACAAAATAGAGAGAGAGAAAGAGAGAGAGAGAAGGAGGATGGAAGGAGGGAGGGAGGGAGGAAGGGACAGCAGCAGTAGATTAGTTTCCCAGGGCTGCCGTAACAAGTCACCGTAAACTCAGCAGCTTACAGCAGCAGATACTTACTCTCCCACCGCGCTGGCAGCCAGAAGTCCAGAGCCAGGGCATCAGCAGGGCCGGGCTCACCCAGAGGCTCTGAAGACCAGCTGTCCCCTGCCTCCTCCTGCTGCTGACAGCTCCCGGTGCCCTTAGCCTGTTGTGTCCCTGTAGGCTTCACCTGCCTCCCCACTTCTCCTCTTCTGGGTCCCAAGTGTCCCTCCAATTTCTCTTACAAGGACGCTTAGGATTTTGGCCCACCCTTGATCTCACGCAGGGATGTTTCCCTTAGTGGCTTTTGCAAATAAGGTCTCACTCAGGTTCTGGGGATCGAGAGGTGGCTAGGTCTGTGGGGAGCCGCCACCCCTGCTAGAGTTGCTGTTTGCCAGGCAGTTCGATGCTGTGCCACCCTCATTACCCCATGTCCCATAGGGCAGCTGTTTGTGTCCCCACGTTGCAGAAGGGAATAGTTCCCATCCTCTGCTGCCCCGGTGCTGTGACAGTCCCCAGCTTGCAGCCCAGTGCCCACTAGGCACCCAGGAATTGGTCAGTGCCTGGCATACAGCCCAGTCATCTGACCGCCGACGCCCCCTCCCCCGTTTGGCCCTTTGCTACCTTGGGAAGAAACGTGGTCACCCAGACACTCTCGCAGTGAGAGCAGCAGGTTAAGGGCACAGAGCGCACGAGGCTCCTTTTGCTTGGTGGTGTCTGCTCCACCAGCCCCTCCTGTCGACATTGCTGTCCCCACTTTGCACGAGGAGAGACCGAGGCCCAGCAACCCTCAGGCACATAGCTAGAGTAGTGCAGCCAGTGGCAAGCAAGCCAGCCTGTCGACTCCCACGCCGGTGTGGCCCCGGGGGCCTGCGCACAGATGTGTGGCCTTTGAAGGTTCTCGAGGGCATATCCTCCAGGCTCCTCCCAGCCCTGTCCTGCCGCTGCCCAGTCGCCTCCCAGGGCTGCTGTCCCGAGGGTCTCGCTTAGCCTTTACAGAAGCGAGCCATGCATCAGCCCTCCCTGGCCCCACGGTGCAGCACAGGCCCTGGGTGCAGTTGTCAGGCCGTAGCAGCCTGTGGAAGTCTGGGCCTGGCTCTTCCCCCAGTGAATCACAGTCGTGTCTGGCCCCGGGCTCTTCATCCGTGAATGGGCTGAGTCCCCCGAAGCCGGAACACAGTGTGGACACCCCTCTCTCCGCAGTTCCACCACGTGCCTCTCTATCTGGAGTGGGCCCCCATGGGTGTCTTCTCCAGCACAGCCCCTCAGGAGAAAGCACCCCAGAAGGCACCAGCAGAGCCCGAGGGAAAGGACAGGGAGGAGCCGGAAGCCGGTAAGAGCAGAGTCTGAGCTCGGGGTGCAGGGGGCGGGAAGAGTGAGAGGTAGTGTGACATCCTTCGTCAGGCCCCCAGTCTGGCAAGCGAGTCTCACAGTGTAACAGAACATCGGGATTATGGGTGCTGCCTGAGCTAGCCAGCTTTGAATTTGTCAGTTAAAGGTTGTGAGGAAGAAAACCGAGAATTTATTAAACAGGGATTCGGGGCACAGCAAGTGGAAACCACATCTCATAAAAGGTTGAGGGGCTGGTGGAAGTCATTCTCCTGTGTCCTTGGTACACAGCGCCCCCTGGCGTCCAGTGGCTGAGGCAGGAAAGGAAAGGGCAGGGGGCCACAAAGGCTGTCCTAGACCCCCGCTGACACCTCACAACTGAGTTGAGGCCGTGTCATTGGCATTGGAGGCAGGAGAGTTACCCCTCGTTGGGACTGTGGTGCAAATGTGGCATTCCTCACCCGGCATGTCCTGGTCACTGTGGGAACCCAGAACCCTCCCCTGCAGTCTAGATGTCACCCAGGGTGGCACAGCCTCCAGAGAGAGCCACCAAGTCTGGGACCATGGCCAGCTCTTGGAGTCAGAGACCTCAAGGAAAGTTTTAGGGCTGCGTAAGTCATGTTACCCAGACATTGAGCTCTTACCATTAGTGACGGCCCCCAGCAAACACCCAACAGGGCTCCCTTGGCCGAGTTTACCAAAATAAGGGTTTTTACTTTTTTTAGAAAGACATAGTAAGTCTCCTGTCTGCTATTTCTATTGTTTTTATATATTTCAAAAAAAACAAAAAGAACATTGAAAAAGAACATTCTTATAGCAAAAGCCAGGTGGTAGAGAAGCAGAATTGTCGGGGTGAGATCCAAAGCAAGCGGGAGCCTCCGTCCCTGTCCACACTGCTCGCGTCCCGTCTCCTGGGTCTCAGGACCAGCTCAGTGGCACCAGGCATTTGGCAGCACCTGTCTGCAAGTAAAACTCCTGGTCACTTTGCTCTCAATCCAGTGTACCCCAGGCCATTGGGGTACTTAGTAGAAACCTGAGGCCCTTCCCAAGCCCCCATTTCTGAGTCAGCTTGGGCCACAATTTGGATGAGGATCCCTTTCGAACCCGCTTCGGCTGCCATCAGGAAATTTTCTGTGTGGTCCTGGTCCATTCCTGATCAGCCACAACCCAAGGTCCCCCAGCCATCTTGGTTCTTGGTTCAATTCCTACACCTGAACCTGCTTAAGCCTCCGTGACCCAGAGTGAGTTGTTGAGCGCAGAGCTTGGTTGGGGTTCTGGGTGCTGAAGACGAGCTGCTGGGGGCCTCTTCCTCCCTGCGTGGCCGGTGTGCCTAGGTGGCCACTTCGGTGTGGCCACGTGTGCTTGTCATAGCCTCGCGACTCCCTGCACTTGCTGTGTCATGTTCTTCTGTGACTCCAACTGCCGTATGTATTTATTACGTTGTTTGTTGCATTTGTTTTGAATCCGCCTGTGAACCCTGGAGGTGGGGCAAGCTATCTTCTTCCCTGTTGGGGGATCTCCTCCCCCCACCCACCCCACACAGCCCCAGGTGTAGGGTGGCTCCGTAGATCGGTGTGAGAGTGAGTGCCTCTGCCCCTTCAGATCGTGGGGCCAGTCATACCTGTCACACTGTGTGTCTCGAGCTCCTGGCACACATGCGCTCTGCAGGTCTAGGGGTGGATAGCCAGCCTTAGCGCGTGCATGGTGACAGCCATGCTGTCAGTCGCTGTAGCAGAAGCGGCTGCTGTCTGCGCCTGCCCCCAGATGCCCCTTGGCTTTGTGTCACACACCTCTCACTTCCTGCAGTGATGCAGAGTCTGAGTTTGTTTGCACTCAAATGTTCCCCGCCCAGCTGGCACCTCCCGCTTGCTGCCCACAGCGCCTGGGAACGTGCCCACCTGGCAGGAACTCGGAGGGAAGGGTGCCGACTCCACGCGCGAGCAGCACTGTCTTCCTTTGGGGGCTCAGGCACGGTCGACTCTGTCCCCTGGCTCTGCAACTGGCCTAGCATCTCCCGTCTCTGAGACTCAGTTTCTGTGTCTAAAATGGGGTGCCGGCCACAGGGCCCTGGAGGCCTCTATGAAGGGAGTCTCTGTGCAGATCCGCTCTCCTCGCTCAGGCTGGGAGCCGGGCGGCGGCTGTTAGAGTGCATGTCTGTAACTCCGTCTGGAGCTTCGTGCCCGTTGCTGCAGGCAGGTGACAAAGGGACCTGACACAGACTGTCTTCCCCAGGAGCTGCTGGGCTGGTGTCAAATAGTCTCAGAGGTGGCCCTGGGTGCAGACAGGCCCTGCAGTGTGAGGGGAGGCATCTCAAGGCCAGGGGTTCCAGGTCTGGGGCTAGCGTGCTCCCTGTCCCCAGGGCTCCGGGGCACCATGTCCGAGCTTTAACGTTGAGCGTCTCCCATGTGCCCCACTGTTCAGGAGGGGCACAGCTGCCTGCCAGTTCGGCCCAGGAAGTCGTGCAGGTCTGCGCATGTGACGGACCCTGCCGCACCCCATCTGCACTTCCGCTGTGAATTCCCAGGCTGATCCGATGGCCTGCTTTGGCCGTGTTTGTCCCTTTCTGAGGCATTTCTCCAGTGCAGCCCCTCCCCTGTCCCTGGGCCCCTGAGCGTTGCTTCTCACCTGCTCCTCCCCACCCTGCCCCCCACATGTCCCTGCGTGTCCCCTGGTCCCCACTCCCCTTGGCACGAGGCCTGGAGGTCAGCAGATTGTCACAGTCTCCACAGGAGGGGGCAGAGCTTCTCCGTAGCCACCTCCTCCGCCCCTGTTCTCCGTGAGGCCTCCAGGGAGGGGGCGGCGGGTTTTATCTCCCCACAGCCAAGACCCTCACCTCCAGATAAAGGGCTTCATGTGGGGGGAGCTCTGCAAAGCTGCTCGCCGCTGATAACAGTCTCTGCTGCCAGCCCGGCCCGAGAGCCCGGCGAGGGAGGGGACGCGGCGCATTCTGCGGCCTGATTATAATAAGGCCCCATGTGGCGACGCGTGACTGGATTTGCCTGCGCTCACCACAGACGAAGCGCGTTCCCCGGCCTCTCTCAGCCCCCTCCAGCCTCCCTTGCTTTGAGTCCCCCCATGGTGGGGCCCCCGCCCCCGGCCAGCCCTGCCTCCTTTCTTAGTTCTACCCTCTTCTGGGTCCCGGTGATTTGGTTGGCAAACATCTGTTTGAGTTTCACAATACCTTATTTTTCTCTCTTCTCTTTTGTCTCCCCACTTGGGGCCAGGAGCACAAGTACTTTTTAAACAGCCTTTTGGCTTCAGCACCTGGCGCCTGGCTGTGCTGTTCTCCCTGGACCTAGGCGCAGGGCACAGCAGGGCTGGTGGGGGCTCCTGAGAAGCACAGGGTGGCTGGCAGGGCCATGGTCCCCTGGCCGCAGAGGTGTGGCACTGGCTGAGCCGGTCTGGCCTGTCCTCTGTCTCATAGAGCCAGGGCTCCCCACCCCTTCCCTCAGCCTCCTCAGTGAGGCGGGCTGGGCAGCAAGCATGATGTGTGGGATAAGGAGAGGGTCGGTCCCTTGGGTGCCGTCCTAAGACCTGTGTGCTGTAGTTCTCAGGAGCACCCTGTAGGCGGCACTGTTGTCATCATTCTCATTCCTGCATGGAGAGAAGGGAACAGAGATAGTTTGAAGTGAGGTGTGACCCACAGCCACAAGCCCAGAGCCTGAGCTCCTGCCTGACAGCCCAGGGCATCCAGCCGAGATTCTGGGCTTGAAGGAGGAAGTCTGATCGGCCTCTCCAGGGCGTGGGGACTGTTCTCAGAGCCGGGTCGCGTGCTGGGCGCAGGCTGAGAGTGCCATGTATTCATTGTCCACGTGTTTCTGATGTGTGAGCTCTGAGCCTGGTGATGCAGCTGCAGTGGTCACTAGGGCGACTGGATCCGGTCCTCGGTGGGCTCTCTTAGCATCAAAGCGCCTCTTTCATTTCTAGCCTGTGTCAGGGCGAGGGGTTTTGATCAACTTGGAACCCATGGAACCCCAGGCCCAGCCAGCCGGACACCCCAGGTCCTAGGCTCCTGCCATCCTCGAAGTCCCCTCTCCTCCAGGCTGGGGGACAGCGGCTGACCTGCCAGGGCAGGGACTCATCCATTCCTGGGGTGCTGACCTCAGCCTTCCCTTAGCTCAGCTGTCACTAAGGCCAAGCATCACCCCTCTCTGGTCAGGTACCTGGGACCATGCACACCAGCTCTGTGGAGCAGGGTGGTGATGACTGGCCATGCTGAGGGCTACCAGGTTCTGGGCCTGGGGACAGGGGCAGGGCCCTCAGTCTGCCAGGGGAGGGGAGCTGGCTGATTTGTTGACCACTGTTAGTATAAAAGCCATAATGCCACCATGTTAAGTTGCCAGGATTTCTGTGTCCCCTCCCAAAAGCTGGACTTCTCAGCTTCTCAGTCTGAACTTCTGGCCACACTGAGTTGACTGTAGGGCAATGATCAGCCAGTGTCAAGAGGGGGGATGGCCATGACCCTGGTCACCGTCATCCCGGACACTCTGTCTCTCGGTCTCTCATAAAAGCTTCTTTGCGTTCTCACGTGGCCCCTCCCTCCCCGAGAAGCTGCCTGGGAGCGAGGGTTCACGTGCAGCCGCCTCCAGCACATTCCTTCAGCTCCGCGTTTGGCGGTGTGGCCACTGTGGGTGTGCAGGAGACGGAGTACCCAAGGCGTGGAGCTGAGGTCCTGCGTGGTGGGAGATCTGATCGGCCCTCCTCCGTCCCTCCTTTCCTCTCTGAGATGTCAGACGCCAGCGAGACCCCGTGGGCTGGGAACACGTTCCTGCCTGAAGGTCATGGTTTCGGCCTTGATCAGAGTCCTTGTTCAGGACCTAAAGTCAGAGCTCTTTGCATAGCTTTGCTTCCTGCAGTCTGTAATGCTTTTCCTCTACACAGCTTTGAACGTCGGGTTCTGAGTGCAGATGGCAGCACCAGGGAGTCCCTGGCTGGGGGAACTGTGGGGGTCTCTCAGCCGGGGGAGGAGCTTCTATGCAGATCTCTTTGTCCTGGGGCGGGAGTCTGGAATCTGGGCTCACCGTGAGGGGCAACAGCTGCACGCTCCACTGATGTTAAAGAGACGACATTATCACTGTAGCTGTTTCCATCAGCCTTGAAAGGGTGTTTCATGACAAAGCAGTTGAAGCTCAATTAGGACTTGAAAGCCTTGGGCTTGCACAGAAAGGGCAGGGGAGCCAGAGACATCTTCGGTGCCTCACAGAGGGTGGAGGACATTTGAGCACGAAGAAGCGCCCGTACATCACAAAGTAGGAGCTATTGAGGCAAAGGTGAGTGTGGAGAAGCAGTCTGTCTCCATCGGCTCTGGCCACGTGACCGGCACCAGCTTCTGCCCCCTGGGTGTGCGGGGTGTAAGTCTTAGGGAGCCAGGTGGGCAGCTGGCCAGAAAGCAGTGGGGAGTCGGTGAAGAGGGCGCAGTCAAAGCTGCTCGGAAGAATCATGAAGACAGGCTGATCGCGGGGAGGGGGGCGGGGCAGTGGAGGAGGCCGGCCCCAGGCCCCGATCGTGTGACTTGGGGAAACTGGAGAGGTTAGACCAAACGCAGTGCGCGTCTTTGAAGCGTTTCTCAAGGCCGTGATGCTGCCCTGTTCGCAGCCCTGGAAGGCTTCTGCAGCGGTCACGCGTGGGGGAGACCCACAGTCGGCACCTTGGCCAATACTCAGGTTAAAGCTCTGCCCCGTGCCCGCTGCCGTGCTGCCTCTGCACCCGTGTGCTCAGACCCATGCAGCGCCCCCTCCCCAACGCACGCGTGTGTACACGCCCCCGACACACACACTTCTCACCAACACACAGCCTCTTTCGCTCTCTGCGCCTCGGAGGGGTGGGGTGAAGGCCGTCTGGAACCTCCTGCAGAGATCGCCGGGAGTCTGCACACACTTCTCCCTCATTGTGCCGGGTGTGTGTCTGTGTGCGCACACGTGTGTTTTCTCAGAAACGCTGTAGATCATGACTATAATCACACTGTGCTTTTTTTGTTCTGAGTTTTTATATCATGAAATCTTTTTGATATTATTACACATCCTTCAGAAACATCCTTTCTACCGACAGCACGTTAATTCATTCTTCCGTACCCTCTAGCCTTCTTGATCTCCTGCTAGTGAATGTGTCTTGTTTTCCCATTTTTCAGTATTTTATGTAATATAGTTACATGAAGTTAATATATTACGTGTAGGTAAAACAATACTCTTGTGTGTGTGCTTCCTGAATATAGTGCGTAGTTGGGATTTTTCTGGACTCCTTTAGGTTTAACGGGTAATTCACGTGTTCTGAGTTTTTCGCCCATTCTAGTACTTTTAAAGTTTTTACTTGCCTTTTAGTTTGAAATTTCACTAAGTGCTGCTGTTTGGGGGAATAATAACATTTTGCTGAAGTTCATGGTTCAAGAAGATAGTTCACAGTGCATTTATGTTGAAGTTAAGCCGGGCGTGGTGGTGCACGCCTGTAATACCAGCACTCGGGAGGCTGAGGCAGGAGGATCCTTGTGAGTTTGATACCAGCCTGGGCTACAAGATGAGCTCAAGGCCAGCCTGAACTGCATAGGGAGACCCTGTCTCAAAAAGACCAAAAAAAAAAAAAAAAA